GAACCTCAGAAGCATATATTCAGTGATGGAAACAGATATTTATTATATTCCACCAAATTAGGCTTTCCCTTCCCAGTCTGCTTGGAGACTTTTCCAGACTGTCAAGCTAGCAGCTTTATGTGTGGATATTGACAAGCAGTGTGATGTATACGGAACCCATAATTCATCGCCTAAAATATGACACTAGTAAGTTCAGATTGGAAAGTAGGAAAGTAAACACTTTGTGGTACCTTCACCAAAACTGTTTTTGAAATATTGGGGGTTGATGCATTATTACACAGAATATGTCTGAGATTAACAGTACTTCTGTAGTACATGTTTCCAAATCATTCACAAAATCACGAATTGGTCTTTTAATCCAGGAAACAAACTCAAGTGATGCTCATCATAATAAAAAGTGACAAGATAGTGATAAAAACCTGGCATTTATTAACAGGGAAAAAAAAAAAAGAGGTAGGACTACATTTCCCCTAAACCGTAAAGGATGGGGCAAAATGCCCATGTAAAAAGAAGACAAAGAAAGAAACAATGTTGCAGATACCTATGCTAAAGTAACAAGGACTGGAAAATGTGGTAGTTGCTGGCAGATATGAAGGTTGGGAAGGAGCTGTGTTAGTGAAGCACTTAGTGTAGAATGATTTCTCAGTAGCTTTGTAGTTGATATTGCATTGAAATCGTTTAGGTAGTAGTTGACTTTGGCAACTGTGAAAAACAACATTCAATTTTAGGGCATAGTGTACTTAGGGAAGAAATGACTGATTGGAGGGGGAATGGGGGGAGTGGAAAGGCCCTCTACTATCTAAAGCAGGGGCAGTATGCAGTTTGTCTTTCTCCCTGCAGCACCTAGGACAATGTAGTACTTGTTAAATGTCTGCCTAACGAATGAGAAGAGTTTCAGAGAAACCGCTTCAGATAAAGGAATATGCCATATTATTGGAGGAAATATCCTGAGGTCAGAAAGCTGCTGAGCCATAGAAGTTGAGATGAATGGTAAAGGTGTTGGTTTTCCCTTTGGGGGGCTTCTACCATTGTTTTCTATTTCTTTTTCACTGGCAAGTTCAGGATGTTCTTGGTGGTCAAGTGAAAAACAAGAGTCTTCTTTTTTTTTTTTTTTTTTTTAAGCTTCTAAGCTCATCACTGGATAGAATAGTGACTTTATTGTTTACTTTGCTGAGGGTGAAAGGGAATGTAGCAAAGCAAAGCACTATCACCAGGGAGTGACAAAGTAGCAAAGGAGAGACAGATGTAGCCTTTCTTCCTATTTAAATCTCTCAGCCACCTTGGAATTCAGAGTAAAAATAACCAATAGGAAGTTAACATCATTTAAGGCAAGTAGGATACTTTTTTAAAAAGCAAATGAATGTGTTATTTGTTTCCTGGACTTACTGTCACAAGTTGGAGGAAGTTTTTATCCTTGTTGGATTTTTACTTCCAGTTTTACTAGAGTGAGGGTACTTTTCTCTTTCTTGGTTACTTTCTGAAACTCCAAAGCAGTTCAGTCAAATATTGAAAGCCATTCAGTTTTCATTGTTGCTGCATTTTCTTTCTGTCCTCCAGACCTGTCATAGTTTGCACTCAAATTGCCAGATTCACGGAATGCCCGTCCCCAGCCCTCTTCCTCATGCATAGTACAACCCAGCTGCAGGACCATGCTGCCCACCCTTTCTGAAAGGTCTTCCAAGATTAGGCTGATGCCCTCTAGAGGTACTTCTCTCTCCTACCAAGGGTGTGGCCCTTTGCCCTAGGCTGTTATTTCTTGTAAAGTTTTCTCTCATTTTCTGTGTGTGTCTTGCACCTCTGCTTAAACATTTTGGGAGCTAAGTCCATGATTTAGGTTTCTTCTGGATTCCTTCTCACTCATGGTGGGGGTTTTCAGTGTGTCCCTGATAATTTAAGCAGGATAATGATGAAAAGAGGACACGCCTTTGGTCAGGGACAATTTAATTAATTTCTAGCTATGCCACTGTGGGAAAGTCAGGAGCTATTATTTCCTCCTTGATAACTGAGGATAATAAAACCTGCAGTGGTTTCTAATAGTCAAGTTGCAAGAATCAAAGTAAATGAAATTGCGACTACAGATATGAATGAGAACATGTTGTGTATTGTAAAGAACATCTTAAATGGGAAGGGTTGTTGTTGATTCAGGCATACAGCAGACCTGTGCTGAGCATCCACAGTGTGTGGGGGACTTCCTGGGGCCTGGGGTTGCTATTGGAGGGAGTAGAAAATGGCCAGATGTATTTTGTGTGGGGGCAGGAAGTCTTCCTAGGCAGAGGACAGCTTGGGCAAAGGCACAGAGGAATGGAGGACAACTCTCAGCAGTAGCTCATCCTGTCTGGAGCAGAGAGAACTTAGACTTCAGCTTTTATTGGACCTCACCCATTTGCTCAAACATCTAACTAGACTGTATAAACAAGCCAAATTAATATTTTAGCACACTATATTAACTCTACTTTTACTCAAATGTTAGTTCTTAGAATATTATTCAGTAAAGAAAAACCATCAATATATTGAAAAGCAGTGAGTGTGGCCCAATCACTTGAAATTCTAATAAAACGCTTGATCTGTAAACTTATTTGTAGGGAGTGGTATGTCATTATGATACATAAGCATTGGTTAAGCTTGGGCAGCCTTCTGTACCTAAGTCTAGAAATTGTAAATTACCACAGAACCCAGGATTCTTAAAAAAAAAAAAAAAAAAAAAGTAACTGATTCTTCAAGCTGGATTTGGTAGGAACCAAAATTGTGTCAAAAATGAATTTTTTATTTGAGTGTTTTTAAAAGCCAATTAATTTGGTTTGCATACTTAAAAGCAAAGCAATGTCAACTTGTTAGAAGTCTAGAAATAGGGTTTGAAATAAATTCTGAATGTTTACCTTACCTGTCCAAGAAAGGTGTTAGGTAGACACCAGAAACCAAATAGAATACACTTTGGGGAGCTCTGAGCCAGTGAAAACAAAGGCCAACAGCAAGGGAGCCTCTAAAAGCCACAAACCTCAGGACTAAGTCCTCGTTTCAGTGAAAGTATAATTGAAGTGTAACATGCCTGGGAGAGACCGTTTCATAGTAAATGTTTTACTAACCCCATGTCGGTAATTACAACTAAGTTTTTCAAAGTTTTCAAAGTTTTTTTTCTTTTACTATGAAAGAGCTACGCATTTGCAGCTTTGTGGTATTCCAAGCCCTAGAACATTCTGCCCCGCTTGGCCCTGCCCTCAGAGCGTCCTCTGTGTGTGTGCAGGGCCCGGTGGATTCGCTGAAGCCCCAGAGACTCTCACACGTGTTTCTTGAGGGGCTGACTGTCTCCCTGGAGCCCGGCTGGACCAATGGAGCCTCTTTTTTTATTGTTTATGATTAGGAACTGGCCCTTTAAGCCACTACCTCTAACCACCTAAAGCCACGGTGACAATAAATGGGTGCTGTACAGAGTCATTTAAGTGACAAATATCAGGAACTGTACCTTAGGGTTTGTTCTTTTTCATTTGTTTTTCTGTCTTTGTAGTTTCACCTGGTTAATGTGAAAGGGGCTTATTTCCAGCAATATGATTGGACGTTAAAAACCGCTAGTTATGCACCGGCTGGTTTGGCTCAGCAGTTAGAGCGCAGCCCTCAGACCAAAGGGTCGCAGGTTCGATTCCCGGTCGAGGGCACGTACCTCAGTTGCAGGTTTGATCCCTGGCCCTGGTGGGGGTCATGTGGAAGGTAACCCATCGATGTCTCTCTCACATCGATGTTTCTCTCTCTCTTCTTCCATCCTTGTGCTCTATCTAAAAATCAGTGCAAAGATATCCTCAGGTGAGGATTAACAACAACCACCAAATCGCTAGTTATTGGAAGCAGCAGGCCCCTTACTGGGCCAGAGGGGAGGAGTCACTGGTGTCAAACTGGTCCTTTCTTAGGTAATTTCGCTCCTAGGTTTACATTAAATGTTGTCTTTTGCTGCCTCTTGAATCTGACATGTTGGGCTCAAGACCCTGGAATCCCAACAGATATTCTTGCGATTTCTGGCTCAGTTAAATCGCAGTGGTGAGAGCCAGCACAGCCTCAGGGAAGGAAATGCTGCCTGGCCTCCCTCCCCGCGCGGTAACTGGCCCAAGGAAATGCAAAATGCAGCTTTTAGAACATGGTCTCCTGTAAACTCGAGAATTTCTTTCTTTTTTTTTTTTTATCCTCACCCGAGGACATTTTTCCATTTTTTGTTCAGACAGAGTGGGAGAGAGAGAGAAACATCGATGTGAAAGGGACACATCGAGTGGCTGCCACCCACTTGACCAACCAGGGCCGGGGACAAACTGCAACTGAGGTACATGCCCTTAGTGGGAACCGAACCCGGGTCCCTCCAGACCGTAGGCCGACGCCCTAACCGCTGAGCCAAACCGGCCAGGGCTAAACTAGAGAATTACTTAATTAAAAACATGATAATAGACGTTCTGGTAGTCAGTGTTGAGGGAACACCCACCAGACACTCCCAATTCCCCTTTCATTAGGCCCGCTCTGCCTGTAACGGGCTTAGCGGGCGTGTGGTGGAGCGTGGCCTGGCTCTGGCCTGCGCAGCTCTCTGTTCACCGTCAGTCAGGACTGGGGAGCCCGCGACGGGTCAGGCAGAGAGCGCCGGGTCCGGTGTGGAATCCCTTTCCAAACTGCCCCGGAAAAAATTGCAGCCAACCAAACTTTACTTCCCCTGGTCTGGCAAGCAGGCCGTGGAGGCCACAGGCAGCCACCGGCCGCCGGAAGATGCCACTGCTGTCTGGCTGTCCGTGTGTCCCCCTGAACACTGCGCACACCTGATTCTCCCTTCTGTCTGCCTGCAGCGAGCCAGCACCGGGAGCACGCGGCGAAGCGCAGAGCCGGCGCGAGGGCCCCTCTGTGGCCTGGCGCTGCCACCCCAGCGGTCAGCGTCTGCGCGCCTGGGTTCCAGTGAGCCGACCTCCCGCCCTGTCTGCGGCGGCGACCGAGAAACTGGGCTGGGGATGCCAGCTGCCTGAGCTCCTCCAGACAAGATGGAAGAAGAGCTGGTGACTCCGGACTCTTCGTCGGAAAGACGCTACTTTCCCGAATCCCTGGACTCCAGCGATGGCGAGGAAGACGGGGCTTTGGCCTGCGAGGACTTGGAGCTGAACCCTTTTGATGGATTGCCATACTCCTCCCGTTACTACAAACTCCTGAAGGAAAGAGAGGCTCTCCCGATATGGACAGAAAAGTACTCCTTCATGGAGAACCTGCTTCAGAGTCAAATCGTGATCGTGTCCGGAGACGCCAAGTGTGGCAAGAGCTCCCAGGTGAGTGGCCCTGGAGGGCGCGGGTGCCACGTGGCGCCCTCTTCCCGTGAAACGACCACAGCGCCGCACCGCGTTCTGGTCTCGGAACGACAGTACCCAAGTCAAAAAGCAAAACAAAATAGAAATTAAGCCACGTAACTTTATATATTCAAGCCAGCTGAATTACACACTACTTTTGTGTTTAGTGTACCACTGAATTTTCTCTAGGATGGTAGCAAAACTCCATTTCAGTTGTCTCGTTGTGCATGTATTTTAAAAGCTGTGATACATGTCATTTGCCTACCATAGCTTCAAGGAGTTAACGGCCACGTTTACGTGCCCAGCAGTCTGATCATCAGGCTCTTTGGATATGCTTGTGGGTAAAGCTGGTTAACCTACAAAATTTGAAAAGCACAAGGAAATTCTTTTTTATTTTTTTTCCTGACTATAAGAACTAATTGAGGAAAGATAATTAACAGATGCCAACCCCAAGATGACCCAGAGGTTGGAGTTATCAGGCTTATACTTTAAAGCAACTATGGAAAAGGTAAAATCCCGAAATAGTTGCTTTTTAGTTCATCAAAGAGGTAATTCTGGGAGGGCCTAATTTGAGCAGGTAAAAGTCCTGCAAGAGCAATTGGCCTGTGGCGAGGAGACACGTGCGCTCCCGTGGCCTTGAGGAGGCCACTGCCCTGCTGTGACTGTCTGCGGAGGGCCATCTGTGGAGGCCGTGGGCGGGCGCTGTGGGGGCCTCAGGGCCTGCAGGTGGCCCTCTTCAGAGATCTGTGGGGGAGTCAATTTTGCAACAACCTGAGTGACCCTGGAAGTGGATTCTTCCCACGTTGAGCCTCCCAGTATGAATCTAGCTGACACTTAAATTTCTGTCCTGTGACACCCTGGCAGATGACCCAGCTGAGCCTTGCTGGGACTCCGGACACACACACACGGTGTGTCGTAAGCGGCTAGAGTTGTGGTAATCTGTTACTTAGCTCTAGAAATGTAATACAACATTACAGAAGAAAAAAGTCAGTGAACTTTAAGACAGATCAGTAAAAATCATCCGGTCTGAAGGAGAGAAAAGGATCAAACAGGATGAACACAACTCCCGGGACCTGTGGGATAACTTCAGAAGGTCTAATATGTGAATAATTGCAATCCATGAATGAGAGGGGAGGGAGAATACAGGGCCCAAAAAACTGAGGAAATAATCCCAGGAAACTTCTCAAAATAAAAAAGAACTGAGTGGCCAGATACACAACCCAGGCCCGGGCCACGTGTTTTGGGTTCTGATAAGAAGGAAAGAATCCAGATAGATAGTTAGTGAATATTTATTGTCTGGTTTGTTGTTGTTATCCTGAAACTTAAGGTTTTGACTTTAGTGAAATATATATTTTATTCTTAAATTGTAAAGCAAGCAGTTTTTACTGTGAAACGTATTTCTCAGTTCTTGGGGATGGGAGAAGCCGAATGGAGCACAGACCATCTGACGGGACCATCCCCGCGCAGGGGAGGGCAGGGCCCGAGGGCTTTGCCGTCTGCCTCACTCGCGGGCGCAGCTCTGGACTCAATTAGAGGGACACCCTCCATTACAGGGACACCCTCCACTACAGGGACACCCTCCACTACAGGGACACCCTCCGCCGCCCACTGCCGCTCCCGGGTCGCCTACTACCTCGGAGGCTTACTTGTTTTAAACGTGACTTTTGAAGAGAGAAGGGATGGACAGTAGGTCTTTTGTTCTTTTCTTTTTTCTTTAATCTAATTTATGGTTGCCAACATCAAGGGTTTATAATGATTTATTTGTTGCCCTGGCCAGTTTGGCTCAGCGGTTAGAGCATTGGCCTGTGGTCTGGAGAGACCCGGGTTCGGTTCCCGCTAAGGGTACGTACCTCGGTTGCAGTTTGTCTCTGGCCCTGGTTGGGTCGTGTGGGTGGCAACCACTCAATGTGTCCCTTTCACGTCGATGTTTCTCTCTCTCTCTCTCCCTTCCACTCTATCTGAACAAAATATCAAAAAAAAAAAAAACAAAAAAAAAAATGTCCTTGGGTGAGGATATAATGATTTATTTGTTAAAACAAATTATTTTGGTTTGTCACAAACATCTAATGGTTTAAGCATCCTTAAACTGATTAAGCATCCTTTTCCTGGTTTCTGTGGACAAATGCCAAGTTAAAAATTATTGAAGTTTCCGTTTTGCAATAATTTGCAACTTACAAAAAGTTGCAAAAGTAGTACAAAGATTTTCCATATAGTGTTTACCAGATCCCCCAGATGTTAGCATGTTATCACATTTGCTTATCATTTTCTCTCCAGACACATGCCCACCCGAACACATGCACACACACAAGCACACAAGAGCACATGTACATACATGCACATGTTTTTATTCTGGACCTTTTAAGAGTAAGTTGAGGATACAATACCCTTTGCCTCCCAATACTTCATCAAGTTTTTACTGAAAACCGGACATAGCCACAACATAATGATCAAAATCAGGAATGTAGTATTAACATCTCATTATTATCTAATTCATAGACATTCAAAGTCCATGCATTTTCCCACCACTAGCCTTTATAATAAAAATATTTTTCTAGTCCAGAATCCAACCCAAAATTACCTTGCATTTCATTGTATTTTCCCTTTAATCATCTTCTGAAACAGTGCCTCAGTCTGTCTTTGCCCTTCGTGACCTTGACATGTGTTAAGAGGACGCGCTAGGAAGGTGTTCGTACAGCAGCCCGCGGTCTGAGTCTGCCCGGTGTTCCCCCAGGACTAGGCTCGACCTGCAGCAGGAAGACACAGACACTGGGGGTCTTCGGGGGTCACGTCAGGGGACAAGACTTTGCCCACAGCTGGTGATGTGGAATTTGATAACTGGTAAGGTCGTGATTCTCTTGTTCTTTATCGTGAAGTCACTATTTCCCCCATTATTTACAAGACTTGGGGAGATACTTGGAGACGATGTAAAGTATGTTTCCCATCGCCGTTCATCTCCTAGGTCCGAGTGACTCTTACCTTTCACGTCGTTACACTTGTGGAAACCAGAGGGTGAATTTCCTAACTGCCCTCCTTCTGCATTTCACATCGGAATTCTTCCGTAAAGCTTTTCTCTTCTTGATTATTTATTCATTTATGTAGCAGTGTGGACTCATAGATGCTCATGTCATTCTGTGGGTTATAATTATTCATAAGCTAGTTGTTTTGTTACTCAAATTGCCCCTGATGTGGCCAGTGGAAACCACGTCTGTCTTTCTGAGGTGTCCCCACCATTCTTGGGACACTTCCTTGCTGGCTGGCCCAGTAAGATGTTACAGGCTCATCTAGTATGTTATGGGTTCGAGTCTTGAAAACCTCCATTTTTATCAAAGAGCTCCAATTTATTTTAGTGGAGAATTGTATTTAGGAACCAAGACCTGGGAACTACGTATACCCATTGCCATTGGTCTACCGTTGTTCCTCGGCCTCTCAGTGGGCAGCAAGGAAAGAAATGTGTCAAACACCTCTGCTGTCCACCTACCTGCCTACCTACCTACTACCTACCTACCTACCTACCTATGTACCACCTACCTGCCTACCTACCTACTACCTACCTACCTACCAGCTACCTACCACCTACCTACCTACCTACCTACCACCTACCTACCTAGCTACCTACCTACCTACCAGCTACCTACCAACCAGCTACCTACCTACCTACCTACCAGCTACCTAGCTACCTACCTATTTACCTACCTACCTACCTACCTACTGGCTACCTAGCTACCTACCTACCTAGATACCTATCTCTGCACTGCTTTCTCTGTGTCTGTTTCTCCCCTTCCTGTGTCTATGCCCTGCTCCCGCATCTGTGCCCGGCTCCCGCATCCGTGCCTGGCTCCTGCGGCGGCGCCTGATTCCAGTGCTGCACCAGAAGGTTCCGTAGTCTTCCCCGTGTTTGTTTGTTTCGCTGATTTTTAGAGAGAGGGAGAAAACATCAGTGTGAGAACAAAACATCGATTGGCTGCCTCCAGCACATCCCCCACCGGGAATCAAGCCCTCCACCCAGGCATGTGCCCGGACCGGGGATCAAGCCAGCAGCCCTTTGGTGCACTGGACAACACCCAGCCGACAGAGCCACCCGGCTAGGGCCCGCCCGTGTTTGCAACTCCCTCCTCTACCTGCGAGAAACCCAGCTCTCGTTTTGTTGCAGTTGTTGTTACAGATGTCCGTCCTTCTCCCCCGCTGACACCCTCCTCCCTGCTCCCGTCGCCCCGCCTTCCCCGCACGGTGGTCTGTCCGTCGGCTGTGCACACATGCGAGTGTTCTTGGGTTGATCTCTTCCCATCCCACCCCTCTGAGGTTGGTCAGTGTTCCCTACCCCCATGCTCTGGGTCTGTTTTGTTCATCAGCTTGTTTTGTTCTTTATCAGTACCAGCTCTTGTTTTTTACGATAGCTTTACTTGTTCGATCTTAGAATACTCATAATGTGCTTTCAGAATTGCTAACCGATACTACTGTAAAACAAAGTTTTAAAATATATACCGCTTGACTTTTCTTTTAGAATTTATGATCTTTTTTTTTTTTTTTTTTTTTTTTTTATCCTCACCCGAGGATATTTTTCCATTTTTTGTACAGATAGAGTGGGAGGGAGAGAGAGGAAGGGAGAGAGAGAGAAACATCGACGTGAAGGGACAACATCGAGTGGCTGCCACCCGCACGACCAACCAGGGCCGGGGACAAACTGCAACCGAAGTACGTGCCCTTAGCGGGAACCGAACCCGGGTCTCTCCGGACCGCAGGCCGACGCTCCAACCGCTGAGCCAAACTGGCCAGGGCTAGAATTTATGATCTTTATGGGCAAGAATTACATACAGGGGTGGGCAAAGTAGGTTTACAGTTGTTATATGGAGTGTAACACAGTAGTTAATAAATAATAATGCAAGAATAAACGTGTTTCATGTACTCACACCTGCACACCTACTTTTGCCCACCCGGTACATTGTGTAATACGTTAACACCTGCAGTGGTTTCTCGTGTCTCTT